TTCTGCTACCTGATGCACAAGACTGCAAGGTCAGCCTGAGAAGAGCTCCTGAGTTCTAGAAAAAGCATGGGAAATACTGGGATCAATTGTCAAGTCCAACAGCTTTATATCCACTACATCATGGATAGGGATGGACAAAATGTGACTGTTGTGTTGGCAGAAGAAGAATCATGTATCAGCAGCAAAGTTCTACTGTAAGAAGCCAGTTTTGTTTATGCACAACTGAAGACAGAGCTTTTACCAATCAGTAAAGACAGAAACATATTACAGCTTCAGTAATCACTGCTTCTGTATCTCTATGCATATACACATAAACATACATATGCACATGCACATACACACGTATCAGGTTACCTTCGTAAGAAACACGTTTCACATTTATGTAAGAATGTTTCTTCATATATATGCATGTTTCTTTAGAAACTAAACAGATGATGAATAACACAGCCTGTGCTATTTATTTTATGCTGCTCCCACACCTTTTGTCAGTATGAAGCAGAACGTTTTGAATATAACAGGTTATAGAAGTTCCTAAGAATAGGAATCAATAGATTTTGGATGCTTAGAAGAGAACTGGATGAGAAGTAAGACAGTGAGATAAATGAATTAGCTGTAAATGTCTGTGAAACAGATAATTTACCCATATAACAGTTAAAAATATTTGATATTCAGGCTCGAAGTGAACACAAAAAGTTTTAACAATTAATTTCTTCCCAAAATCTGATCTCTCCAGAGAATACTACTGGGTCAGTTACATTCAATTCATGTTGTAAAAGCCCTCTTCCCCTTTGCTTTACTACTCTGAGAGCTTGCTATATATTTTTCAGCTGAAAAATAATTCATGTGAAAGGTTTAAGAAATATGAACATGTGAAGTATGGAAATTTGAAAGGTATGGGGCTTTAGAAACAAAGGGGAGGTAAGTATTCTAACATAGCTTTGATTTTTACAATTGCTCCTGTACCTTCAGTGTATGATGAACATTGAAAAAAAAAGAAAAAAAAAAAGTCAGCATTTTATGAGTTTGAACGTAAAACCAGATTAGAATCTTAAACCAGTAAATGCCTTAAAATCCTTTGAAGTCCTCACATGAGATTCTATGAACTCAAATTCATTTTAAATTCACAGCTGAAACAAGGTTCCAGACTTTACTTCAGGACAAAAACTCTTCAAAAGATTTTTGCCTGGGATTTTTCAGATATTCTTTGTACAGAGACTTAGTTCTGTGATAAGTAAGCTGGAGCTTCAGGATAAGACAACATTATGCAAAGTTGATTTTTAAATTCCATGTTAGGGATCGTAACACCCCTTCTCCCTTCCCCCAACAAATAACAGGGATTCCAAATTCAGTTTTCACCTGACTTTCCCTAATAAGTCTAAATGAATCAGAACATGTAAAACAAAATGCAGTACTTCCCTAGCACAAGTAAAGCAGTCACAGCTGAAATCCGAAAGGAAAAAGAGAAGTCAGATTTCACAGAACTTAATGAGGCAAGGTACTAGTACCTCTGCGGGGAGGTAAGTAAATCAGGTGATTACTCAAACACATCTCACACTGAGGTCTGGCAATTTATGAAAGATGAATTTTAAGATTAAATTTGTAATAACAGGTATAAAACTCGGAGCTTTGAATTATCTAAACCATTTCACAGTATTCAAGTTATGTAAAATCAATTAGAACAATATTGTATTAAAGCTATTTCCTTTTTTCAGTTCACCAAAGTGCACAAAAAGCAGTTTGTAAATAATGTCTTTATGGAAGAAAAATAAAATACAAAAAGAAGGTTCAATGTTGCTGTTGCTTTCCACCTGCATTATTGCATGGCTGGAATTGCAGACTTAAGTACTTGGTTAGCACTGACAATGAATAAGCATGTAAGAGTACTAAAAACTGTAGTTAATAAGCAACTCGTTAATTGAAAAGACATAAGCAACTCTCATCAAGAAACTGAGAAAAGGAAAGATCAGCAGAAAGAATAATTTATATACTGTAGTGAAAAAACATAAACCAAAGATCTGACTATTCCTATAGAATGGCTATTGCAAACCACTTATTAGCACTGCACATGGGATGGATTATATTACAGCACCTCTCATATATTATTTAAGGTTTTCAGCAGTGAATGCACCAGAAAATCAAAAGCATAGAAGACTGAAAAAAAAACCCGAATCCTCCTGACATAATTGCTAGAATTAAACCTTATGCAATACAAACTGATGCCTCCAAAATCTGTCAACATTACAGATTCCAAAACATTTGTCAAGTATTCTGAACACCACCCCTTTTCCTATGATACTGAATATCGTCACTGATAAGCCTGATGCTACTGAATTTTAACCAGTGCCCCTTCAAAAAGGAACTCTAGTAAAAGCAGGAAAAAAAACAACCCTGCAGAGAACAACCAAACTGGAGTCTTAGAAGAAATTCTGCCATGGAAGATGGCAATGGACTTTCCATTTGTAGATAAACACAGCACTATGTCAGCCAGCAACATTACATCTTCCTGATTTACATTACCTTTATTGTCCAGTGATATCTTGAAATGGGAATAGGAGGCTTGTAACTAGTCACAAGTGGAAAGTGTGAGAGCTGTTCGGTTTATTGGGGGTGGTGAGTGTTTAAGGAATGCTAGCTACAGTACTAGCATATGCTACTCCAATCATCTCCACAGAGCTTTCTGATCTCTTTTTTTTCTGGCATTCACAGTTTCCTTCAGCCTACAGTGCCAGTATCTTACATGAATTCAATGCAAAAATCCAGTTACCACCTCAGAGGTCAAATTACACTCTTCTCTCTTGACAAACTCCAAATTGACATTCTGTTCAGAGAAAGACATATTTTCAACAGCAACCGGGGAAAGGTACACAAGACTGCTTCCTCTGGTATGAAGAAAATGTAAGTTCAACCCTCTCCAAATGTTCTGGCTCTGTCAAAGAGCATCCAAACAGACTAAGCAAGATAAAATTGTCTGAAGAAGATAGACAAAGGCCAAATAAGTACCTGAAGTTGCTAGAGAGGGCAGAAAGACATATCTGAGAAATCAGGAGGGGTTTTTATCAGAAAGATATTACAAAGCTATAATATGGTTGGAAGGCCAACCTGCTCAGGACAGCCATTTGAGCTGCATACTTACAGCTACCCGGGAAGTAGTCCGGAGTTCTAATATGCACAGTCTTTTGCAGGCAGATATGAGCTTATTTTGCATGAGCTGACTAGAAGCCATTGTGCTGTGATAGCATACCATTGAGCACTCGCTGCAAAGCAGTGTGTATTAGATCAGGCAACATACCATTCTCATGTGGCCCCAAGTCCTCAGGCTGACACAGGGTGCAGGCTACTGTAACTCGTATCAGTTTGCAAATGGGTGTACATATACACTCACAGAAAAAAAAAAAATAGAAGAAAGATTTCAAGACCAATGTGCAATGAATCCATCAACTGTGAGGTAGGAAGAAGTGAGGTTTGCAGGATCAGGCATAGGTATGAGTCCCGGAGAAAAGGCTGGGAAAAATTAACATGAAGACAGAGCTTATGGTGTGGGCAGACCAACACCAGACATGCTCATTCAGCAAAAGGGCATCATGAAGCCCCAGATTTATAATGGACACTTTTTCACTTCTTTCAGAAGCAGCTCTTCAACTGACACAGGTTAAACACTGGAAGTGTGAGACACGTAACATGGTACAGGTCTTTATGGAATGACTTTCGCCATTTTGAAAAACTTTTTTTTGAGCAACTTTTCTTCTAGAGATTTCAGTGCAAAGCAACACAATTATGCTACCAAACTCTCTTCAAAATCAATTCAACTCTGCTACAACATCTGATATTCACATACACATATCTGCATTTAAGCCCAATATAAATATATTTGCAATATGGAAGTTATTCCCTTCTATCTTTCGTTCTCTTCCAATCACATAAAAACCATCAATAGTAACTATTACTTTTTCCCATGAACTTTTCACATATTACTTATGAAAGGGAGACATCTAATTTGATGAAACAGCACAATGACAAAAAAGTTCTTGTTATAGATATGTAAAAAAAAAATTTCTATTTTACTTTGCTTCCTATCAATGTATGTTTTAGTTAGCTCTTTGAAGGATATCTGGTTGGGATGCAGCATACAACATAAACTGTACTACTGATACATACTATTCACCTAGTAATTTTCCTGTGATGTATGTAAAAATATTAACAGAATCTGTAATATACAAGGAGAAAAAAAAATCAATGCTTAAAAGAACTTGCCTAATATGCTAAAATATTTCAACAAAATGATACTCAGAAATTGCTATGACTCAAGCCTTTGTAAGGTTTTGTCAGAACTGAAACTCTTCTTACTCATCCTATTTTCATTCTCACATCTACGGCAATTTTTAGGAATGCATAGATCATATAGCACATATTTATATAAGTGCACCTTGGTGTTGCATATACAAGTTTGATATACAAATATAAACATACTTGTTAAGGATCTATTTAAGTATTCTAGTTGCACAATGTTAAATTGTTGGTCTCTTACTGAAATCCATTTCTCACCTTCACAGAGCAGAAAAAATCTACTTTAAATATTTATCATAACTCCAGCAATGGCATCTGGAACCTGTAAGTCTTATGAGCATCTTGCTTACTTTTTTTGCACTGATTAAATTGGGTGTAATAGTGAAAACATACTGACTTCACTTAAGTAACTGAGGAAATGAGGTACATCTACAAGATGAAAAACATCATTATATACAAGCTCAGATGAGAAGACCGGTCGAAGCTGCTAAAGAAAGAAAAACAGAAAACCCACAGCAACTCTTCTAGACTGTCTTCTAAATAGCTTGAAGCTTGTTTTCTAAATAATTTCGAACTTTAAATTTACAGCCCTGAAAGTCATCGCCTCTGCTGACGCATAAACCAATTATTTACTATACAGATGCCTAAGAATGAGAAATGCCAATTCACGCCAAAGCGAGATGATTAAGGCAAAGCAAATGTTTTGCAGTACTCACCTTAGGCACCCAGTGGCGTTGCGCAGCACCTGTGATGAATGGAGTTGTATTTTATGATCATCCTGGAGCGGAGAGTTTTCCCATCCAGAGTGAGGAATGATCACTGCATTGGTCAACACTGCAAGGGCATCCTGGATGATTGGCATTTTCAGTGCATCACAGGAGGATAGATTCCAGAGAACTCCTACAAGAAACCCCAAATAACTAATAATTAATATTTCTGAAAAAAATATTGAATACTTTTCCTTTAGAAAAATACCAGCAAGACATTTCACAACATGGGTGTGCTAAAACTAAAGCTGTTTCTGTAAAAAAAAAAAAATTGCCCCTACAATTTGGATGGGGCTGACTGACACCCTCACAGTTTTGCAGTGCAAATACAACTTTGAATACACAAGTAATCAAAGCAATACTGGAAATTTTTGAGAACTAAACCTGAAAAATGAGCAGCTGGTTATGATCTTGGCCTGTTCAGGCTGTGAACCACATGTGGAATGAAGAACTATTACATACTTTTTTTTAGGGCTTGGACTTCAGATTTCTGCCTTCTAAATGAAAATAATAAAAACAAATAGCAGAAAGTAGGTCCTGATTTACGCTGTCATGTTGATAGATATGCAATTAGAGAACAAAACCACAACCCTGTGATCTTCACTGTAATGAAAGTAACTGTCTAGGGTAGTTGGTACTACAAGCAAAAAGACTTCCTCCACAACCCGATATGGTAGTATGGTATTATCCCAGCCTTCAACAAGTCTTTTTTTATTTTGCAAATGTTTTACTACTCAAAGTTACAGAATACTACTAGTTTTGCACAGAAACAACCAGCTTAACTGTGCAACTCACAAGCAGATTTACTGGAATTAAAAGCAAAACCCTTCTGTTAAAATTCATCATGTGCTAAAGAAAAGGAAGAGCAACCAAAAGCCAAAGCTTTCTGATCACAGCCACAAGGATCAAGGCCACTGCCATTGTGCCACACAGAAAGCAGGCGAGATATTGTTAGGGGCAAAAGAGACCTTGCTTTTAATTCCCTTTTGCATATTTGTATATTTGCTGGAAAAGTACATTTGATTTCTGTGCCGTGCCAAAACTCTGCTGCTGCTGGGCAGCAGTGCTGCCCTACTGCTGCTCCTAGTGTTGGGGGAAGGCTGAGGACAGCACACTGTTCTGAAGAAGCAGTGGCCTTTATTCTAAGCGAACGTCCTCCCAAGAGTAGCTGGAAGAGCAAGCCTACCTCTTCCTCCCCTCCCCTTGCCAACATATGTCCTCTCCTCTAGAGTCCAACTCTGCTCCTTGTTACTTTTCCTCCTGTACTGTCAGTAGCCTGGGCATATGCTAACCCTGAGTGGCAAAACAGAGTTCTGCTTTTATGGCTACCAAGTCTTGAACCAACACAGAGATTCACAGAATTGTAGAAAGGTTAGGGTTGGAAAGGACCTTAAGATCATCTAGTTCCAACCCTCACTAGACCATGTCACCCAAGGCTCTGTCCAACTTGGACTTGAACACTGCCAGGTATGGAGCTTTATCATCATTATACACATGAGATTACAAATAGGAACACTATGAAAAAACAAAGCGAGTGGTGGTGGGAGGAAACTGCTAAAGACCTTGTGAACACTGACTAAGACATTTATAAATACAAGCAGCAAGAACACCACTTGCTCAAGGCTTTCTTTAGCATTCTGTGTTTTGAAGGAGGTGTAATTAACAGGAATGAACCTACATTTTTGGGTTTCCCTTTAAAATTAATTACCTCTATGGGGAGACTGTTTCAGTTATACAATTTCATGTTTTAATTATTTTATATGGAACTGTATGCAAAGACAGTTATGCATCTTAATGTGAAAATTTTGCTTAGCATACTAATAAAAAACCCAAACCACCTTAAAATAATCTGTATGTGGTAAACAGGCAGAAACTGACAGACTTTAGCTACAGACCAAAGAAAAGAAAAAAGGCAGGAGTAAGAATAGTGTTCATATTTAAATTTAAGAATTAGTGCTTTAAAGGAAAAAAAAAGTCTTTGAATTCTGTTCTAAATACCTTCATGAAAAATAAAGACCTTCATAAAGATATTACATTATAAAGATTATATAGATTATAAAGATATTTATAATCACTTTTCTATGATCTGCTCTTTGTGAGCTTTATTGACCCATCTACTCTTCCTGAAATACTAGTGTTTTGGTGGCTTTAGTCAGCACAAGCAACAATGTGGCTGTTTCGTTTTGTTTTTTTACATTTATCCAGACAGGTGTAACTGACGTGCATGTTATAAAAGCAGAGAATCTGAATGAGAATCTTTTTCCTTCAAGGTCCAATCTAATTCTTAAGCAAGACAGTGTGTTACTTTCTGTGAAGAAGTCCCACTGTGGAAGTGAAGCAGAAAAGAGTGCTTTAATGGCAACAAAAGAGTATTTTGGGTTTCAAGAACTACTCATAAATTGGAAAAGATGAAAAAAAAAACATAAAAGAAGCAAACATAACAGCTCTGCCTAGAAAAATACTTCAAAATGTGTCTGTCTACTCTATTTTCTATTCGCTCTAAGTTCTTGCTAATTAAAAGTAAACTCACATAAGCATTGTGATAAATCGCTATTCAGCGACACTTGAGATGCCCAGAAATAGTCTTCAAGCCTTTTTTATCCGTTTAAAATCCACTTGACACTGCACATGAGCTTTTGCTCAATAAAATACCACGGTAACGAGTGAGGTCCAAATCCAAATAAACCCCCACATATTTACCCATGAGCCAAAAAGTGGGGTCTGTTTCCATTAACTGGAAATTAAACCTTCCCAGTAAGAGGATGAAGCATTCACCAGACCAAATTAGCTGTTCTACCTTCTCCTAAAATGAACTTAAATCAAGGCAGAATCAAGCAAAACAGCACTGCCCAGTAAGCCTGAAACTGTTTTCGAAGTTTCTGCACCTCCACAGTTTTTTTAAGGAGTAAGATAATCTTTCACATTAGAATATTTTAACTAATTTTAAGTCTTTGAATACTACCAGCCGCATTAAATGGAAACAACAATTTTATTCTGACAAGCTGTAATTTATTCTCACAAGCAGCAGAGTCTGTCACTTGCTGAGGCTGGCATTTTAAGTGCTCCTTGTACCCTTTTTTAATTAAAGATCTGCAATTATGAAAGGGCACTGTCAATTCACTTCCCATTACTTTTGCTGAGCACGACCTGGAGATAGATTTATGTGGGGTCTAAGAAGATGATCCATTGCTTTGTCTTTGCAAAGGAAAGTGGTAAAAAAAAATAAGCCTTTTACCTGAGGCACATTTCATTACGGAGCTACCTCTTCTCCACAAGACTGAACATATTTCCAAGCATGTACGCAGTAAGACTGTTGTAAGGATCTGGTCACTGAGATGATTTGCTACACTTATTCTGAAAGCCCTGACTGCACTGGGTTTCAGCACAATAAGCAAGTCTAGAACAGCCTCAGAGGTGCCTTGACTGCCCCCTAAATCATTTGTATGTCATCAGCTGCCCACATTGAGGTAAGGGAGAGGACTCAGTACACCAGTGATTCATCACAAATAGTGGAACCCATCCTACTGTGTATGTATTGGTAGAGAGCTGCTAATCCAACAAATCAACAGCTTATAGCATCCACAGACTGACTCTTGGGAGAGAAGGGAAACAAGGACCTCATCAGATCAGTACTGAATACCTCTTAATCAACTGTGTTCGCAGTCTCTTATCTCTTTCTTGCTTTTAAGGTTGTGAGGCATTCAGAGTGATCATTTTGTCTCCCCAGTTGCCAACTACTTTAGGCTGTGTTGGATGCTTCATAGAAAAATACCTATACCAGACTGATCATGTTTATTCACAGGTTAAAATTTCTCACCCTTACATGTAACAAACTAAAGCACATGGGAAAAGTCTCTTGCAATCTCACTTTGAGTTGAGAACTAATGAGAAACTGGTACTGAAAGCACTCAGCTGGTTTGGATTTGTTTTTGGGGTCTCAGTACCAGTTTTGCAGATATGAGATGACGGACGCTTAAGAGCAATCTACAGAAATGCTCACTATAGAGATCTCGCTGTACCATGCTACTTCTTCTGGAGTAGCTTATCAGAGCACATGCATCTACTATGTTCAATGGGTCATTTAATGCACTAAATGCAAATCTTTTCTAATTTAAGGCCTTTCAATGATCAAATTTAAAGCAATCAAATTAAAAAACTGGTTATAAATTTTGAAAACGATTATAATCAATCTTTTCAAAGACATAACTACAGACATAGTTCATAAGGAAAACTATACATGGATCTTAGAAAAGGCAATTTAAGTTTGTTGCCACTGAAAGAGGGAATTGAGAGAACAGAGAACCAGGAAAACCTCAATTTCTCTTTCTCTTAGCCAAAGTCCAGAAGACTGAAGACAAGACCAACCCTTTTAAAAGAGATGTTACTCGTCCTTAGCACACACAGGTTATCCACCATGCTTTCAGCTTAGCAACAACATACTTTTTCACATAAATGAACTTAAGCTATTGTAATAGATACGACACCACTGACCGTAAAGAAATTAAGCAAACCATTTAAAAAATTCAAAGTAACTCAATTTACTGGAGCAGTCTGAGCCAAAACCCCACCATCTCTGAATCAGGTTGGACCTCAAAGTCATCCTGATTAAACTCTTCACTGCATTTTTTAGCCAGTGTGTTGCTTAGAACTGGTACTCACATGTGTATCTATAGTCAGATATAACTAAAGATCTGCTGAGACACATGCTATCCTTATTCCATTCAAAATTAAGAAAATAGAGATCATACATTTTGGTGCAAAAAATATCACACTAGCAAGAAAGCATGTGCTGTATCAGGGAAGTCTAAACAATTATGCAGTGTATGATTTAATGCTACCTCAAATTATAGAATCATAGAATAGCTCAGGTTGGAAAGGACCTTCAGATCATCAAGTTTCAACCCCCTGCCATGGGCAGGGACACCTCACACTAAACCATGTCACCCAAGGGTCTGTCCAACCTGGCCTTGAACACTGCCAGTGACTGGAGCATTCACAACTTCCTCGGCAACCTATTCCAGTGCCTCACCACCCTAACAGTAAAGAACTTCTTCCTTATAGCCAATCTGAACTTCCCTTGTGTAAGTTTTAACCCGTTACCCCTTGTCCTATCAGCAGAGTCTCTGATGAACA